TGGTACATTAGCCATTATTGTTCAATATATCTCAGAACACTTAAATTCACATATTTATTGTTCGATACTGTATTAAAACATATATTCTAATTGATAAAAATGCAAATTAAAATTATTTCTAAATATTTAACTTTAATGTAAGTAGCAGTATATTAGAGATCATGTGTAATTCTCAATAATCTTATTATTCTGTTGAAGAAAAAAAAAAAAACAAGTGTCCAGATAATTTTGAACGGTATTGTACATCAAAATGCAATAAAAGTAAAGGGTCATAGAGTAAATATTACCGAGCTAAGTAATTAAAGTTGAAAAATTTGATTGTGAAAAACATTGTACGTACGAAACTAAATCAATAAATATTTATTGTTACTGGCAACTGAAAAGCACCAGCAATATTGAATAATTGCAGCGGAGCCTTCCATATCCGAACAGAATATTTACTAATAACAGAATTCCTTACATCAAATCATTTTACACGATTGAACGAAACTTTGAATGGCAAAGAAACATTTTGAAAATTAATAACTTTTTTAAAAAGTGGTTAATATATTAGACGATATTTGATGATTCAGTTTAAATTAAATCAAGCGTGAATAAGATTTCACTGAGATGCTGATGTAAACATAATTTATTCCTATTGCAGTTCTCTTAAACAGGTGTAAGCTTATATATACTTTGTACTTTCTCCCAAATACTATATTGTTCATGTGTAATTCTAGAATAACAATAATTCTACAAGTTGTATTTCATTATGTGTAATTAATTTACGTATCTTACTATTAGCTTCAGTTCTTGTTATGGTTCATAACTTCTAGGGTATACTCGCCAAAATGTGAGAAAAAGCCCTAATAAACATGAGCCGGAAAATTAATAGTTTCAGAGTTATAAAAGATTTTTTGTTTCGGTTGAAGGAGACACCTATCATACTGTATTTAGGTAGTTTACCTTGTAATTTCTTTTTTTTGCTGATTACAGGAGGTTCTCTACGCGCCCTTCCACTTAAGAATGCTAAATATTTAGCCTTCTTAAATATTGAAATAAATTAACTTAGATACACGCAGTTTAATCACCTGCCTTGGCAGCTGATTGCGGACCATAACGAGTGACCAAATTGTATACAGTAATTCGTCGTTTTCCAGCGCAACAGATTAATATTCAAAAAAATTTAGATACTCTGCAGCTAGAAATGATCCACAAAAGACAAAGTCTTGCATAAAAAAATTTAGTATTATTATTACGTTATCAATAATATATTATTTCACAATTTCGTCTTATTTTTCCATATAGAATCGTTCTTTACCCAATCCTCACGAACCACCCTGTATTTGTAATAATTCAGAATTGTCCAAATACTTACCAGACAATAGTCTATATCCTTCACAAACAACTTTAAAATCGAACAAACATCTTTCCCATTATTTACATTCTCATGAAGTCTCGATAGCGTGCACTCGTTCAACGTCAGTATGTACATCAAAGGGATACCGTGCTTCTTGTTCCTCCGCCATATTTTGCAAGGAATGGTGCACACGTACGAGAAGGATTCCCCGGGGACGGTTTTTTTTTTATTTATCACCGTCGACTTTCCGGATGAAACCGGAGAGGAGGAGAAAAACGAAGAGAGAAACGTTCCTTTCCTTTCTCTCCATTGGGTTATGTTTTCCCGAGAAATAGTCTCCTTCTGGGTTCTGACAACTCGAAACTATCGCGTAGCTGTACGTGCTATGGCCTTGAACGAGCAAAATATGTTTCGAGAAGCATGAACGATCGCAGAAGTCAAGATGGAAATTCCTCTCGCGCCTCGAGTTCCATTTAACTCGATTACGAAATTTAGAAACCCTTATTTTTCTTTAATTTGTTCCTTCGTTTCGAACTGGCGCGATGGAAGAAATTAATATATCAGAAAAGTGTAGTTAAATATATTAGAAAGTATTAGAATGGTTAAATATATTAGAGAAGTGAGTAGTTAAATTTATAAATTCGTCTGTCAACAATAAACAAACTAAATTTCTATTCAATCACAGAGATTTCTATTCAATACCACAATAATCTTATTCTCGCGCATAATTATTCGATTTCATGTCTGATATCTTTTCCAGTTTTGTCTATGGGCAAACTGTCCATAAACAAATTGTATATTATGGTTATTTATTTTGGAGCCTCATGTTACACCCTTCACGTATATTTCTTTTCATTTTGATTCTAAACACGTATTTATATATGACGTATGTATGTTTTTGAAAAGTTAATATAATTAATACATAGTTGAATAGTAATGGCCTGCTTGTTAAGAAAACTTGATAACGTATGTATTAATAACACAGGTTCTTTTTTATAACAAATGTTATTTACAGCTTTGACACGGTTTCGTTATTGAAGATGTTAAAAATACAATTGCAGATAGAAGAAAATTTAAGACAAATAATATTAGACAATATACAATTGCATTTGACAAAATTAATGAATAAATATTTAGAATAGATAACGAATAGGCAATGAATATATCTCGGAATAGAATCTTAATGGAACAAAGGGTAAATATCAGTTTTACACTTTCTTTTGTCCGCCTATGTACTATGTGTTCGAAAAATAGATATTAGGTAAATATATGTGTATACTTATATTCTCGCTCAAAAGTTTAATTACACCTCTTTCTTTTCAAACGAAACAAATTTTTTCGTAAATTTGTCAGAGAAATAAGAATATCATAATTATAACTTTGAACTTTAAATATAATCGATTAAAATTTCATTAGGTAGTATGAAAAGTTATGAATAAAATATTTACTTAAATATATCAAAAGAAACTATTTCTTTTGAAATTTTACACTCTAAATTTTGGAGCGTGTGGTATACTGATATAAATTTAAAAAGAAAATGTATCAAATACTAGAAGAGTTAATTTATTCATTTAATTATTCATCGTAAACGCGTGCTATTCTTTCGAGCCGGTGAAAATAGAAAACGAGGACGATAAATTAAAAATGTCATGTTCAATTATGAGAGGATTTCTTTCCGAATGATTTAACATTGTCACGAAAGTGGAAATTACTTTCTCTTCCTTGTTTTCACATGGAGAGGCTTGTGTATTCTCATTGGGTCTTGACGATTGCCCTTGAACGGGAAAATATTTCTAGGAAAACAAGGAATTTCCCATGGGTCCCACGATATAGCAGGGAAATCGCGAAAAATATTTTTGCGAGAAAATATGTACATTTTACGTCATTTCACGTTAACTTTCATTTCTTGCCTTAACCCAGATGTAGTATATTTTGTTTTCTAAATAACTTGCACATTTCTAAATCAAAATATAGGGTGTCTTAATATTGATTTATATTTATAATCAAGGAGAGAGCGGTTCTATAAAAAAAAAAGAAAAGAATATAACTTTTTTAATTAGGGTACCGTTTTTAAGATCAAAATCGTTTCAAAATCAAGTTTGAAAACTTGTCAATTATATGTATTTAAATATATATAATTGTAACAGAAGTAAACATATTAATCTATAAGTAGTTTTTCTCTGTATGAAAATATATTAATCAAACTATTTATTTACTATTTATTATTACTATTATTATTTATTACTATTTACTATTTACTATTTACTATTATTACGTATTTACTATTCTATTCTCGTGCAAAGAAATTGAAATTTGAATAGCATTGTTAGAAATAAAATTAAATAATAATAATTAAATAGGAACCTCGAATAAAGGTCTATGGTACATTTTGGTCAAAGTCGAATTAACACTAAAGTATAGTTCTAGTATAGTTAAAGTATAGTTTCTGTCGGTCACAAATGAGGCAGATATTCCGCCAAAAGATTATTTATGTATAGTATGTTGAATATAAAGAAGCACAATAGGTGTTTGAAATTTATGAAAAAAAGAACGAAAACACAATTTAAAAGTAGGTTTAAATTAAAATACTTTTAAGAAGAAGTTTTATTATAACTTGAGTTTTAAAATCCACATATTTTTCCACGAAGAAATTATGTTCATTTGTATTTAATGTCTCGTTTTTATTTTGCTCCAAGAGCAATTAGAATAAATACGATATATCACTGCAATTTCTATTGGTTGTTTTAATGAACGATTCATCATAATTTATCAAATATAAATCCATGTTTTCTCAAAATATGTTAAACGTTGTTTATTCGAAGTTTTCATTCAATCCTTCTGAAAGAACGATAGATATATGAATTGACCAACTTTACTTTTCGTTAATCTCTTAATTTCACGTAAGTACAAAATTAATGATCAGTCTTCAAGAAACAAATTATCTACTACAATTTTATTTATCTTAGGAAGACTTAAGTACTATAGGTCGTTTCCAATTTTCACACATCTTTATGTTCGTTATATTTTATATTTGTCAGTACATTTACTATTATTCAATTCTGCTTGAAATTTTTTATTATTGATATATAAAGCAAAAACAGTTTGATTTTAGCACTTGTACGAACGTAATAATTCTCAAAGATTAAGAGTTTATGTCATTACTTGTCTTAATTTATACAATTTATTAGGTCTGATTGAAAATCACAATAAATCTGTGGATCAAGCTATCATAAAGCAGTGTTTTTATTTTTATCTATTAAATTATGAAAGCATATCACGAGAGAGAGAAATTAGACTACGAACGTGTTATTATTAATTGTGTAATTTATATTTTTAAAAAAATATATTATTGTTTATGATATAAAATATATTATAAAATATATTATTGTTATATATGTTTCGTGCAAATATATTATAATATATTTTTAAATATTACATATATCCTAGATATCCTTGCATATTTAAATATTCCATAAATGTATAATCCGGCTGGTTACAACTTGATTAAACTGCGAAACTAACGAGATTACACGTATAAAAAATGAACCACACGATTAACTTAGCATTCTCATATCTTTGATTTTTAACTTATCATGTCCGAATTCAAAAGAAAAGGAAATTCTGAGCTATTTACAATTAATTATATTTGTTAATGTCACAGGTTTCCACGGGAGCAGCAAACGTTACCGAATCATTTCTACTTCACGGATTTCGAGCGGCATACAGCGGAGATCGCGGCGTTTCACCTGGACAGGTAATCAAATATTCCATCTGTCCTGATCCTTTATTTAAAGAGAGAGAGAGAGAGAGAGAGAGAGAGAGAAAGAGAGAAAAAAAAGAACAAGAACGATCCGTGAGAAACAAGGTTTCCGATAAATCAACGTTATCGGTACAGTTTCTTAGAATCGAGAGAGGAAGGACGAGCGTGGAAAAGTTTGCCTTCATCGAACAATTTGCTGTTTCCAGGCTACTGGGATTCCGGAGGGCGATGCCAGTCACCGGCAGAACGTTGAACCTAACGACAGAGATTTATCAAATCGCCGACGGCGAGCTGTTGAAGACGTTCTTCGTCAGCCCCGCCGGTAATATCTGCTTCCACGGCAAGTGCAGTTATTACTGCGATACGGCGCACGCGATTTGCGGAAATCCGGACACCCTTGAAGGGAGTTTCGCCGCGTTCTTGCCGGATAAATCTTTCGTCGCGAGGAAGGCCTGGCGACATCCCTGGCGCAGGAGTTATCACAAGAGGAAGAAGGCGCAGTGGGAGCACGGTGAGATTTCTCTTCCCCCTCGGATCGACTTTAACCACTTGCGCTGGCAATTGATTGCATAACGAGCGACCGAACCGTATACAATTTGTCGCTTTCTTTTTGAACTCGTCGGTATATCACTGGATAGAAATTATCGAGAAGTAATAAATTTATTATTTGCCTAGGTTATACTTAAATATACTTAAAACTGAGAGAATATTACAATTTTGGGACAAAAAATTCTCATTCCAGCGCAAGAGGTTAACTTTGTGCTGGCAATTGATTGCGGACCATAACGAGCGACCGAACCGTATACAACAATTTTTGTCGCTTTCTTTTTGAACTCGTCGGTATATCACTGGATAGAAATTATCGAGAAGTAATAAATTTATTATTTGCCTGGGTTATACTTGAATATACTTAAAACTGAGAGAATATTACAATTTTGGAACAAAAAATTCTCATTCGAGCGCAAGAAGTTAACAATTTTTGTCGCTTTATTTTTGAACTCGTCGGTATATCACTGGATAGAAATTATCAAGAAGTAATAAATTTATTATTTGCCTGGGTTATACTTGAATATACTTAAAACTGAGAGAATATTATAATTTTGGGACAAAAAATTCTCATTCCAGCGCAAGAGGTTAACTTTGTGCTGGCAATTGATTGCGGACCATAACGAGCGACCGAACCGTATACAACAATTTTTGTCGCTTTCTTTTTGAACTCGTCGGTATATCACTAGATAGAAATTATCGAGAAGTAATAAATTTATTATTTGCCTGGGTTATACTTGAATATACTTAAAACTGAGAGAATATTACAATTTTGGAACAAAA